CCGGTGAACCGCCACTCAGTTTTTCTATTAGAACTAGGTACATATTGTAACAATATAATGGACATCATTTATTTCCTTAACAGATGTGAGACAAGCAAAAGCATGTATCACACCTTTTCAATTGTTGAGATGCGTGTGGTGTGCAGTACATTAATGTTTTTTTTTTTAACGAAGCGATAGATTAATAAAAACTGGCAATGTACGGAGTTCGGGGCTAAGAAGCCAATACGACCAAGGTCAAAGAGAGGAACACTCGCAGGTGCCCTAGACTAAAAAACTACAACAAATACAGAACAACAATACATGTAACCCGGCAGAAAGGACAACTCTGAGCCCGAGACCACAACAATAAACTACATAAAAACCAACTAACTAACAATAACAGATTACTAAGGACAGAGACAGACTAAACCACAACAACACAAAGGACATAAAAATACAACCATTGAGCATAAAACTCCTAGTTGAGCCAGATGTCAATTGCAATTGTATTCATCAAATTCACTCCATTCTGCTACAGCAACTTCAACCACATCCTTAGCAGGTCTGAGAGTATTTTGGAATACCCAGTTGTTCTTGGATTTCCACATCCACCATAGGATGTAGGCTGTGAGACAGGTTCTAGCATCAGATTGATTGACCTGCTTGATAGAACATATTTTAGCCCACCAAGCTTTAAAATTGTCAGTGTCCTACTCCAGTCCATCCCAGGTTAGAGGAGAAAGGACCCAAATCAGTTTAGCTCTGGGGCAGTCAAAGAATAGATGCTCTATTGTTTCATTGGCCTCTCTACAAGATTTGCAAACCAGGTCCAAGGGAATCCCTCTTTTGATGAGGTTACAATTGACTGGGAGAAGTTTAGAGTAGCATTTCCAAAGGAAGTGCTTCAACTTACCTTTGATTTGTAGACTCCAGCTTCTTTTCCTCACTTTTTTGGCAGTGATATGATCCCAGCTGCTTTCAGGAAGGTCCATGTGGCTCCATTTTTTATGAATGAGTTTCAGATAAGTGAAAGCCACTGTGAATCCCCCCCTTAGAATTCCAGTCCCAGCTAACTTTATCACTAACTGTAGGATCCATGTTCTTGATGCTCAAGATGGCAGCTTTTTCCTGTTTTGAAAATACCTCTGCAATGAGCTCTGAGTTCCATCTCCTGCCTGTGTCATCAAGAAGATTAATGTTTACATTAATGTTTACCTTTTAGTTTATTACACAAATTTTGGTAAGCCATCTTACAAGTCAGCAGGTATAAATTTTATGTTTCATTATTTTTTTACTTTTATATTTTTTTCCTATTAGTTTATTGCATCTATACTTATATAGTAAACCATCCTATTTACTATATTTATTAGTAAGAAAAGTCAACATTAATTAATGCATCCTATTTTTAAGTTAGTATTTTATTTGCTTATTCTACTTATTTGTTTTCCCCCATTACATCGGTTTAATAAAAAAATCCCATAAAATATATTTTCTCAAAAAATTGTACGTAATCCAAAAAAAGGCATATTCGATCAGTGATAAAAGATTTGGTCGGTCAAAGTTATATCTTTATTTCACATCACCTATAAATAAAGCAGATATCAAGCCTAAATTAAAGGGTTTAGTTGTTTATTGATTTATGTAAATACATCTAATTTTTAAAGTTTGTAGATATTCAAAATTCATTCTTATCTTTTTATCACCGATTGTATCTAATTGTATGAAAATTTGTTCAGATTTGTTTCTCTAGATGTAATTCGATTTCCGTATAATGAGATTTTTTCATAAAAATATTAACCGCTATTGTATCTATTGATCGAATATAAATTACAAATCTCAAAATATTGAGCCATCGTCTTCGTCCTTGTCAACCTCCTGCGAACAAAAATATATCCCCAATCAGTCTTATATTCAACACAATGAATCAATGATTTGACTTAATCAAACAAGTTAATAGTTCTAATAGGCCTATGCTGAAGGCTCGAATTGTAAGAATGTTTTTTCAAGACGGGGCAGTACATACAAATCCTATCTCGAGTTAGTTCTTTATGATAAAACTGTAAGCCAAATTATTATTATTTTTAATTTCGAACTATGAAACATATATTTTCTATTTTTTAATTTTATTTTTTAAATTAAAATTTGGCTTCTTTCTTTTTATCGTGTATGTATTCAGATATTTAAATTATTTATATTTTTAAAAAAATTAATTTTTTATTGATTATTTTTTTTACATGTTCAGGGAAATTGCAGTACGGCATGACTACGGGCAATCAACTTTGATGCGTTTAGAGAGAGGAATTTTGAGGAGGACATGATCATTTGTATCAAGAATTATCAAGTGGACAACAATCTAGGAAAGTACCGTTTGACATCCAGTGATTTTAATATCATGCTACACGGGAACAATTATATGTTGTTGTTCGCGTGTAATTAATAGAAGGGGTTGAAGATATTAGTTTGTGAGGATGACGAGTTGCCCAATAATCAAACTCATAATGTTGTGTACAAGGAGGTCTTTCATAAATATGATTGTTTCTTTGTCGAATAGTATTTTTTTGTACAATTTTCCTGCGTATTATAGAACTTTTATTGAATATTGCATCTTATAATATAATATCCCCCAAATAAATATTCTTGTGTCTCACACATGTCACCTACTATATATATCTCGTACATTTTTCTTTATTCATATATATAATTATAAGGCTGGATAAATAGACTTAAAATTGTGCACCCCGTGCATCGCTCGGGCTCTGTACTAGTAAATCTAGGTAAGCCATCTCACAACATTTATTATGTTAGGACACGTTTGTTTGCCCGAACTAGATTAAACAATTTTTATCTTGCGATCCAAGATTGCATTGTTGAGATCATTTGCCATCTATGTTTGTTAGGAAAGACTGCTCAAGACAGGATTTTCTTTACTTTTTGTGTTCTACATTTGTTTTCCTAGATAAGATATAGGATAAAAGTCATGAATTACTAATTTATCCCTTAAACTTTATCCAATTTACTTGTAGATGGGAACAACCTAAATTTGTTCACCATCAAATAATTTTCACAAAAATCATAATCAATTCAACATCAAAATTGAGACCTCATTCACATCAAGTAACGAATCTCAAACAAGAACAATAAAATGCATCAAATTTCCATCAAATTTGAAGCTCTCTCAATTGACCAGCATAGAGGGAGATAAAATTCATAAAAAATAAGGCCAGCCTCGGATAGTAAGAAATTTCAGCAAGTGAGCCCTTTATTGGTGGTTGTTCTTATACTAAAGAGGAGAAGAACAAAATAAAGAAAATGAAGGAAGGGGGACGGATCTGAGGGACAACATGGCGAACGTGGCTTCGGCGTAGATGTCCGACGGTGAATGGCGGATCCTCTTCCGACCCGATAGATTGTTGGCTGACTTACTTGGAGGAAGGCTGGGGTTTCTGCCGGCTGGGGCTTCAACCATCCGCCACAAGTTGGGGGCAGCCCAAATTGGGCTTGACCCATGCCATTATGCTTTATGTCTTAACCCATTTGTGGACTTATTCTCCAATATATTTATTCTAATCCAACAAAGCAGTCTAGTATAATATCCTATATCATCTAGTCCCTCTACTCTGGTCGAGTAAGCATAACTCGAACCAAGAATAAAATGTATCTTTGGGCTGTTTCCTCTAACCTGGTACTGAGGTTATAATTTGAATATATCCTCGACCACCAAATAATCACCAAACTTCCAAATGAGCACCGAGAGACCGCAATGAGGTCGAAAGTCGAATAACAACTAATGAGGTCGAAAACTAAAAGCTAAGAACCGAATGACAGCTAAGGTCGAAAACTGAAAGTCGAGAGACCACTGAGGTAAAAAACCGAAAACGGAGATGCCACTACGGTAGCAAACCGCGCCGCCATGTCGGTAACTTGATTTCCTCACCTCCAGCTTCGGGTGAGTGTTCTTCCACTCCATGTTTCTTGAAACTAATTGAGATGGAAATTGTTTATGTTGGTCATGATTTGGAAAATTTGAGGGTTTTTTTGACATCTTTATGTATTTTTAATGTAGAGATGCAAGTAATCTTGGGGTCACCCCGAGATTATTTAGTCTTCAGTATGCAAGACTAAATCACTATTCATGACTATTCATCTCGGGCCGAATCTAATCTTGAGGGTCGGAGTCCAAGTTAACAAACGTAAGATCGGGCCATGATTAGTGTCTTAATCCTATCTTGTCTAGGAAAACAAACGGGCTCTTAGTATATATTACTATTAATTTTTATTATAATCATATAAATGGCTCATTAGTACTATAGTTATTACTTTTTGTTATTATTTTAATTTTTTCTCACTTTATTAGCTTGTTGGGTCCGATACACGGGTATTATCCTGTTGCGGTCCGGCACTCGGGTATTACTCTGTTAGGGTCTTGTAGTTGTTTTACTTGTTTGTGTTGTTGGTTAGTTTTGTAGTGTGTGTTTTTTTTATTCTAGCGTTGCTAGCTGGGATTTTAGGCGGTCTTCTGACTTGTCCTCCCTCTTTTACACCTGTTGGCTGCTGTGTCTTCACACATTTGTGCATTTTGATTTATAAATTATCTATTGTTTCGAAAAAAAAAACAAAAAAAAAAATCAAGACTGGCAAGACTTGTATTTAAAAATTAAGTTAGCTATATTTATAAAATATTATATATTTAAAAATATTAATTAATAACGGTCCAACCGATTCAACGGAAAAATGAACCATTAAATTAAAAGCTTCTGATTCGATGATCGGTTCGGTTTCCCGACCTTGGTAATTTGGTAGCATGCGCAGGAGACATACCACACGGCTCACACGCTCTACAATAAATTCTCCAAAATGCACACACTCCAAACATGGTGCGTGGACGGTGACCTTCTCTCCCCTCACCCACAACCCGCATCTCTCTCTCTCTCTCTCGCCCTACACCCACCTCTGAGTAAGAAACAAAACTTCAAACGACAGCGTATTGAGAAGAGATACGGCACCGTCGGCAAGGGTCAATGGCTGCACCACCGGCTAGGGCAAGAGCGGATTACGATTACCTCATCAAGCTTCTCCTCATCGGTGACAGCGGTTCGTTTTCATTGGAAATACTTCTCTATTTTTTTCCCCTTCTAAGGATTCTTACCTGATTGAGAATTCAATTTATTGATCGTAACATTTTCTTCTGAATTGGCCCATTTTGTTCGGATCTGTGGCTCCACTGTGTCATAATTGCGAATTAACTTGTTATTTGGGGATTTTCATGTAGGAGATGTTGATGATTATTTGGTACGGACATAGTTTGGCGGAAAATATTCCTCTCTGATTCTTTCCAAACCCCATCCCCACCCCCCCCAACCCCCAACCGCTTTTAGATGGAAGAATATTCTTGTCGGTTATCATGTTCGGCCAGTGTTTGTTGATATAGAGTTAGCTTAAAAGAATTTTTGGTAGTCATGAATCCAGGCCTTTAGATGTAGGCTGCTCTGCTTATGCGTTTATGTTCTGAACAACAATAATGTTAAGGAACGAAAATATTACTTGTGGACTTCCCGGAGTTCTCTTGCTTGCTTCTCAGTGTTACTTCTAAGAAGATTCCTCCTTTAGACAAAAGAAGTATTTGTGATCAAACCTGTTCATCAGTAGCTTTGTTCTGAGTTGCTGGCAAGAATTGGAGTTTGAAGTTCCAGTTTCGTTGAGCAATATATTTTTCATTTACTTGCTTGATAAATTTGTCTTATGACGCATGAATTATTTGAATATATTTTCTTAATCATTCGCTTTTTTATCCTGTAGGTGTGGGTAAGAGTTGCCTTCTTTTGAGATTCTCTGATGGCTCCTTCACTACTAGTTTCATAACCACCATTGGGTGAGTCCTTACTGCCAAAAACAACTATCAACTGCTTGATTGGGGTTACTGATGTGGGTTTGTTACATAGGATTGATTTCAAGATACGAACTGTTGAGCTTGATGGAAAACGTATCAAGCTCCAAATTTGGGATACAGCCGGTCAAGAACGTTTCCGAACAATAACGACAGGTAACTTTTGCCCTTTCTGTAGCAGAAAGTCACTTTATTTTGAATATATATATTTGTTTGTGTGTGGGTGTGCTCGCGCGTGTGTGTTTTCTCGTGTAAAAGCATGGACTACTCACCTCTCTTTAGTTCTTGTGTGAAACATATTCCAGATTTAGTTTTTCATTCATCTATTTTCTGCAGTATTATTGATTTTATCCGTTCTTGCACATCACATACTCTGGAGATACATTACTCCAACGTCAGTGCTTTACCTAGATGGAATAAAAAAGTTAAAACTTCTATTTTTGTTATTATGTATAGCTTCTTGAACAATGGCACCAAGTGTATCAAATGAACCCTTGAGCATTGTTCTTCTAAAATGCTCAGTGTATTTCTAAATGCTTAGTGTATCTATATATGACAAAAATTCTATGGAGACATCGGACGGCTCCCTTATGGAGCCATCCATAACTTTATGTGCTGACATGTCCAATGTGTAATTATTGTAGAACACGTGTCAATACACCATTTGTGAATAATTATGGATGGCTCCACAAGCCGAGCCATTTGATGGCTCCATAGCAAGACTGATATATATGAACTCTATTTGTTCATTTTTATATCTATTACAATAGATTTTTTTT